TCAGCGGAGGATACGAAGCTCGGGACGCAACCATGGCAAAATACCTGGCACGGGTAAAGGACCTAACCGCCAAGTTCCCTTACTTTACGTTATCTAACGTTCCGAGGGAGGAGAACGCGCGAGCCGACGCGCTAGCTAAGCTCGCGTCAAAGCCGACCTCCGAAGCGTGGCCGGAGGTTGAGGAGCTCCCTGCTCGCGCGATTGAAGTGGCGGTCGCCGCCCCAGGCAGTGCGCCGATCACATGGGTACAGGAGCTGCTGCGCTTCAAGAAGGATGGCACCCTTCCCCTCGACGAGGTAGCGGCTCGGCGCCTGCGCCGTACACATGCGTGGTACACCGAGGAGAGCGGGCGGCTTTACAGACGATCCTTTGCCTACCCCCTCCTGCGGTGCTTGGAGCCTGACGAAGCACAGACGGTCCTGGCCGAAACCCACAAAGGGGTTTGCGGTGAACACATTGGCGGACGGACCTTGGCACACAAAATACTCCGCCAAGGCTACTACTGGCCAACCATGTGCCGGGACGCGAAGGCTTACGCACAGCGGTACGATTCATGCCAGCGACACGCCCGCGCGCCCCGACAGCCTGCGGTCCCGCTCAGCCCCATCGATTGTGCGTGGCCATTCGCGCAGTGGGGCTTGGACCTACTCGGACCCTTCCCGCCGGCTTCAGGACAGTGGAAGTACATAATCGTAGGAGTGGACTACTTCACAAAGTGGGTCGAGGCCGAGCCACTAGCGACAATCACGGAACATCAGGTGGAGAAGTTCGTGTGGAAAAACCTCGTGACTCAGTTCGGGTTACCCAAAGCCATCATCACAGACAACGGACCTCAATTCGCCGGCCGAAGATTCCGGGAGTTCTGTGCAGGTCATGGCATCCAACTAAGGTTCAGCTCGGTGGCCCACCCTCAGACAAACGGGCTCGCGGAGGTAACCAACCGATCCATCCTGGACGGACTCAAAAGAAGGGTGTCCGCAGCCCGATCGGTCTGGGCGGACGAGCTCCCCAGCGTACTCTGGTCGCTGCGCACCACTCCCAAGGCCGCGACCGGAGAGTCCCCGTACAGTCTGACGTTCGGGACCGAGGCTGTCTTACCACCCGAAATGGCTATCGCCACCCTTCGGACAAGGAGCTACGACGAGGAAGTCTCGAACGAGGGACTTCGTGCCAGCCTCGACGTGCTCGAAGAGCGACGCGCCGACGCGCACCTAAAAGCCCTCTCTTACCAGCGAGCCGTCGCGAGGGTCTACAATAAGAAGGTACGCCCCCGACCGATCAAGCTAGGCGACCTAGTCCTGCGAAAAGCCGAGGTTAGTGACCCAGCCCGAGTGAGGGGGAAGCTAGCCCCCAAATGGGAAGGACCTTATCGGGTCGCCAAAACGGTCCGACCGGGCACATACCGGCTCACGACAATGAACGACTCTCCCTTACCGAGAACCTGGAACATCTGGAACCTCAAGAAGTTCTTCGTCTGAAGTGAAGAAACCTTTCTTGGAGGAAGCGTTTCACCCGAAAGAGAAGAAGGCAGTAGTCGGGAAAAGCAAAAAGCTTCCTGCAGCACAGAAAGCAGGCCCACTTACAAGGCTCGACTTGCAAATAATCAAGAAGCTTTTTTCGTGCAAAGAAGAACTTTTTCAAAGGAAGGAACCTTTTTAGAAGAAGAAGGAGACAAAACGAAAGGGATCTTTCCTTTTATTGAAGAAAGCAAGACAACTTACAGGACCCGACTTACAAAAACAGAGCACGATGACCCCTTTTCCCCACCAGGAGGCTCAAGGCTCCTCCAGGCGGTCATCGAAGGGGACCTCCTCGGGCATATCCACCCCTTGGTCCTCGGGATGACGAGCGAAGGGATTTTCCTCCACCTCGAGACCAGGGTGGCGAGCGCGGAAGCGGGAAGTGGCGATTCGGTATCCATACTCGAAGGATACCCGTCCCGTCCGCGTCAACCCGAGCTCGAACCCCTCCGACCTCTTATATGCCTCGAGGAGCTCCTTGTCTTTTGTGGGGCGAAGTCGGGACTCCTCCGCCAACGCCTCCGAGGCCACCCTGGCTTTAGCTTTTGCCTCCTCCAGCTCCTTACCAAGGGTGCTCACCTCGGCCTTCAACAAACGGAGCTCGGTCCACTCCACCCTCATCGCCTTTTGGAGCCCCTCGTTCGCCCTTGTGGAGGCCTCGAGCTCCGACCGAAGGCGCATCACCTCCGCCTCAAAATCCGCCGCCCGCTGCTCGGCAGCAGCCACGGCCTCCGGACCAGCTCCGGCCCGGACCTCCTCAACCTGGC